AGTCAGTCAGTCAGTCAGTCAGTCAGTCAGTCAGTCAGTCAGCTGCAGTCGGTCAGTCAGCTGCACTCAGTCAGTCAGTTAGTCAGTCAGTCATTCAGTCAGTCAGTCCGTCATTCAATCAGTAAGTCAGTCAGTCAATCACCACCGAATCACCCCATCGGTTGATCTTTCAAGTTTTTTTTTTCCTATGCATCAGTCTTGCTCGAGGAACTTTGTCAACGGGGAATATCAAGAATTCAGCGTCCAGCAGTTGGTGAGATTATCGTTTCAACCTCACTGGAATGGACACTTGTGATTGTCGATCATATGCTCACCAGCTCTTTCCATGGTACTCTGTCTGATCCACGTGTTGTGTTCGGTTTAGACGTACGAATGACTCGAGCGACTCTTGCTTAACTCCCAGTAATAACGCGGAGAGAGAATACAGCTAGAGACAAAGTCAGCGTGTACTCCTGCCGTTAGACTTTGGTAGGCAAATATATCGGACAATCACCCATACGATAGAACTGCCCGAGATGTCCCAGTCAAATTGCAGCCTTGACATATCGATTGATCGATCCAGTCGATGCAATCAGGCTCAGCCTGCCTCGAGTGTTGCGAGCGTATGTGTGGCCTGACTCGGGTGTGTGGGTGATCTGACGGTTTGTTTGAGCACCGTCCTAACACCACGGACTGAGCTGATTGCGGTGTGTGTGTGTGTGTTTGTATGTGTGCAGTGCGTCACCCATGAAAACGCTGATGCCATAGGATCTCATCCTGTGCCTAGGCCCAATAGTTGTTTAAATTTGGATGGGTTTAGAACGGTTTGGAGAAGGGCATATGAGATTCAATCCGGTAGCGGGGTGGGGTGAGGGGGGGACCCAATCGATCCAATCGAGGTCAGTGGCGCCACCGAGAACAGACGGATGGTAGATGGAAGCGAATTGATCTTCGTCGAGTTGGTAACGCGACAGCACACACACACACACACAATAATTTCACCTAACTATCCTTTGGTTGACCGCTTCCCTATTCTTGTAAATTGTTTGTTTGATTGCACAGTTAATATAAAAATAAGTAAAAAAGAAGAGAAGATCCATTGGATGCAATCACTTTTATTTATCATTTATGTTCATCTCGTTTGAAACAGGTTCATTTTAGCCGGATCCGTTCTGTACGATAAAGATGTGTTTGGAGGAAAAATCGATCAATATGTGGACGTGACCCATTTTACCGCGCATCGTATTCGACTGGAAGAAGTGGAATGGCTTGACAGCGGTGGCAGCTTGATGTCCACGAGACAAGTAACCAATCCGGATGCAGTTGCACCAAGTCGTCTCTTGCTGATTGGCCCTCAGCCACGTGCTTCTGCCGAGGACCGATTTGATCGCGACTGGTCCGGTCCGAACAACCAAACGCATTTGCAATCGATTCGAGCATGGATTGTGGGGCAACGAGCTGGTCGAATGCGGATTCGACTGGTTCCGATCGATCGAGCCCGCCTGAAAGCCAGTATGCCTCCGGGACTGGTAAAACAGCTGAAAGATCAAAAATCCGAATTGATCGATCCGACAGACGTGGACTCGTTCGGTGATGATTCCCTATGGGCTGGATCAGTTAAGGATGAGCCTATTGTAGACCTTGTTGTTCATGACGAACCGGGGACATGGCCTGTCGGAATGTCAGCTCAGATTGTCACAGGTGAGGGTTCGCATTTAACTCACAATTACTTGTGAGTAGTGATGCGGGATAATTGATATTGGTTGATTTGAACTGACTATCCTTCAGACTTCACATTCACGCACAATCCTCAGTTCATCCAGTCAACCATATACTCGGAAGTACTAGATTCGAGTTTCGCTATGATTAGAGCTCATCAGTAGTGCATACCCACCATCCCATCCGGGATTTGAACTCCGGACCCATCGTATGGAAGGTGTATGCGTTACTACTGTACCAACCAGCTGATACCATGGCTGAACCAAATTGCCAATTCATGTTTGTTTCAGGCGTGATCTTCAGTGATAGTCAGTTCAGAGTGGCTCGACAGCAACGAAGGTAGANTTAACTCCAATCGAAAGTTGAGGGTTCCATCACAATACGTAATAGCCACTGTAACTCTGACATGCATGATAAGTGATTTTACAAAGAAAGCACATGACTGAGTAATGCTTACAGAGTTATTTGAGTTACCAACACGGATGCATTAGTTCAGTTGAGTATGAGTCAGAATTCTGTTGCCACGGGCTCCATGTAATGGTGGACGATATCCTTTATATATCTTCCTGTGAAATTAATCCATTTATTCAACGGGTATCAGTTTGGTTCGTCATAAATGTCTCTCATAAACTGGGTTAATGGGTTTTCACTACCACACACATACACATACACACACCAGGAGTGCAGAATCCGGGTCTCATTCTTGTTGGTGTACACACTGGCTAAAGGGCTTAGCTACACACATGGGAGCCTAGTCTTCGGTGAAATCTGAGAGGACTGTCTTCATCGTTTTGGCTACACGTAGAAATTTGGTGCTTAATCCATGCTACACACCGCGTTTGAACACATGATGCTCACTGTTCATTAATCATTCTCTACCTCGTGTGTGTGTGTGTGGGGGGGGGGTAGTTGCTGCCCTCACCCCCTCCCCTCACCCCTCTCCACCACATTGACCTGACATCATGACTCACGTGTGTTCGCTGATCACAACATAGATGTTCGGTGAATAGCATGAAACCGAGCTGAATGATGCGTTTTTATCTGACTGAATTCCCCCTGGTCATTCAGAATTGGCTAGGCGGCACAATAAAAATAATTAATACCACTGTTCATATAGTGTTTAATTATTTCGCCTAAACATGGCCAGGGATGCATTCAGACCGTGGTCTATCGATTTCTGCCCCCCCCCCCCACACACACAAACTGTACTCAATACCACGAGGAAGAAGCGGCATATGTTATAGGAATCATAAACTGAACGGGGTTTACACAATTCCAAACCCCAAGCCCGTGTTTATCCGACTTGTGAGTGAATAAACAACAACAATGTTGTACCAGGTTCTTTGACTGAAAGCGTCAAACATATGTGGATCTGAAAAGTCCGGGCAGGAAAATACCATTGTTCATATTGACCTCACGGTTACTTTTGAGTAGTGATAGTGAGGGATCAGTGATATGGAATTCGAATACAGTCTAGCTCGAACAAATTATCTCCTGCTATGTCGCACCCCTGAGAAGTCGCATTTTCCAATATTTTAGTCCGTTTATTGAAAGAAATAAGGGGGATTAAATAATATGTACAAAACAAGCTCATTGGTCATCCGGGCCTCTGCCAATCGCGTTCTAGTATTTCTGCCGTTGTTCAGCTTCAGCCTGGGCCGCAGAGTTTCCGATTGGCTATTACAATCGGCCTATGTAATGTAGTCCAGAAGCAGTAGCACGCATGCGCTTTGCTGATGTCACCCGTGAGGCTTGATTGATCACCGTTGTCTTAAAACTGTAACGTGCGGTTCCAGTGTATGCGTTACCTCGCAGGCTGGGATCGCCACACCAACCAACCTCCAATGTCGCATTAAACCAATGGTATGTTCACTTAGTATGATGCGAATATGACACTGTTCAGTGATTGGATAATCCATACGGAGAAGACGCACCGAAGACAGTGTCACTTGACCTCTAAATATGTGCAAGTGTCTACCGATCAGAGGGAATCAGAATGTGTTGGAAATGCTGAATCAGCCAGGTGTAACTCAGAGTTCCGTAGCCAAATTATCTAGCCTTTCAAAGGTGAATTCGTCAGGTATATAGCAGATAAAGCGTGAACTAAAGATCTAGGAACCACAGAAAAACTGTTCACAACAGAACAGGAGATTAACTGTATTTGGAATGAAAATCATTCAGGCTTCACCTTCACGAATAATTCTCAATTCATCTGACCGACCACACCAAGTCAGGAAGCAATGGATTCGATAGTTTCGCTTCTATTTGGAAACTCATCATTCGTTCATACTCATCGATCAACTGGAGTTTTAAACTCTGGATCTATCACATGGAAGTGGACTGTGTTACGAAGAAGGTTACACTCAGACTCACCAAAATTGCCAGTTCAGGTCTGTTGGTAAGAGTTAGTCGGTCAGTTCGCAGGGTCCTACAATCACGAACGGGTTCGCAATTAANCCTCCCTCCGCCCCGCCCCGCCCCTCAGCTCCAACCGTAAGCCTCCTCCTTGGTCGGAAGCACTGAGTGCAGTTAACCACACGGTTTTCCGCATCTCCTTTCGTTGCTGCCGGGCCCCGTGTGAACTGACTGACTGACTGACTATCACGGGAGAGGAAGGACACGGGAACAAACTTGAAGTAGTAAATGTGGTCGGCCCCGATATGAGCAGGTCGGAACACACACAAACACACACAACTTCCATGTGATCGGTGGGGTCGGTGAATCTGTATCATTAATCAGGGGGAGAAACTCGAATCGACAATACTTCCCGAGTGTGTATCTATGAAGATAAAATCAATAGAACGATCTGTTTTAGTCAATAAGACAGTGATCGTGAGATTCGAGGTTGTGATCTGTTTGAAAGATCAGTGCAATCGGCGTGGCCTCGTCGTAGCTCAGCTCGTAGAGCATGCGCGTACAAGGCGTAGGCGGCGTCCATGCGTGGGTTCGAATCCCACCGAGGTTACTGAACTTTTCACAATCTCGACATACAAACTTCAAATCTGCCAAACAACAATTTGATCTGTTTAACTCAGGCAGATTGTTAACTACCCTTTTTTGGTTATGGTGGATGCGGCGTTGTATATTCCTGGATTGACAGATCCGATTCACTTAACCACGTACTGCCATTGTTTGTTTGCTTGTTTTAGCGTGAATTGCCACCTTATTGTGGTGTGTTTTCTCATCCAGTGAATGATACATCGGTTCGGTATGTGTGTGTCTTTCTGTCTGTCTGGAGTTTTGCTCAGTCAGACCGTAATGTGTTTTCCCCCGGGTGCACAGTTCCCTGCAATTGGATGCGAACTGTTCCGACCGGAATGAGAACTGGAGAATGTTATCGCTCACCATGAACACGATCATTCACCAATCGTGGTAGTTCGGTTGAACTGTGTTTTCCGAACGATTCTCTGTATTTGCTCGTTGCTGTAATCGTTAAGGTACGCACAGGCCGCGGACTAAGAAATCACGGACGCCACGGAAATACTGAATCACGCTGGCACTTACACGGCGGTATCCCACGTAACTGAGACTCAAGGAAAAGCCCACAAAAGTAGTAGTTCGTTTATTGGAAGAAATCAAGGAGGTTAAATACCATGTAAAATAGAATTTTATCGGTTATCCAGACATCTACCAATCGCGTGCTCGTATTCTTGACGTCGCACAGTTTCTGTCTGGGCCGCACGGCCTCTGGTTAGTCGACAAAACGGGCCTATGGTTCGCTATCCAGAAGATGTAACGCCTAGGCACTTTGCTGGTGTCATTTGGGAAGCTTGACTCATCACAGTTGTCCAGAAACTGTGGTGTGTCGCCGCGTCATACCGTAAGCTAAGGTCACCACAGTTGCAAGACCGCATTCTATTGGAAAGCCATCAATCTGGTGGGGTGCTTGAAACACTGAAATTGTTTGTCATCACTGCGCAAAAGAATCTCTCAAGTTCAGACGTGCCCGTGATCACGGTTGAATATTGTGGGCGCGCAAAATGACTGGGAACAGAGAACCGGCTCTTTTGAATTTTAATACAATAGCCCACAACGCAGACAACTATGAACGTTCTTGCTCTCATGAATTAGCAGTCTAAACCTTCAACAATCGAAAAACTTTCTACACCGTACTTACTCTTTTGTTCTCCTAGCCTCTCCCCACCTCACCTTTAATCTCCCAACTCTATACCATCTCTCTCGGGTACTTCAGAAGATCGTACTAGCAGTAGTACCTTGGGCGGAAATTCTGCCGCTGTTCGCTCTTATCCTACTGCTGTCCAAGTCTCACCGAGTCCTTCACTGGCTAAAGCTCTTCTTCACCCTCAATGTCCCTTCAAACTAGCCACGTTTAATGCTCGTACTCTGATGCATATAGGACAACAGGCGTGTTTAGCTCGTACCCTCGAAACCCTAGCCATCGATACGTGTTGCATTCAAAAAATTTGCATTCAAGACTCCAGCTCCATTATCCGATTGACGTCCCCATTTAATCAATCTGTGAAGTTTCACTCACGCTTCTTTGGGGACCATGGGGCTGCGGCTTCCGGTCTTGCTGGCATTGGCGTGGCTCTCAGTGCGAGAGTTGAGGCCGCCATCCTGGACTGGATCCCAGTTGAAAGTAGGTTGTGCACAGTGAGACTCAGAGGTTTGTGTGAAGTATGCAGCCGTGGCCACGATAAACGAAAATTGTTTGTCGTATCGACGTACTCTCCAACAGACTGCAGCCCAGATGCAGTAAAAGATGAATTTTACCAAAATATACACGACCTCTTGCATAATG